TTTTATTATTAATTAATTAGAACGTTAGCAATACCCAAAAAGTGTTCGAATATATGGGCGCGGAAATTTTACAGTCTTATATATAATTAACAAAGTCGATCGCGAGCTCCAAAACGTGATCGTTTAAATAATCGCGAGATGTTTAACAGTTTTATTATTAATTAATTACAACGTTCGCGATACCCGGAAAGTGATAGTTGAAATAAGCGCGAGATATTGATTAATCTTATTATTAATTAACAAAGACGTTTGCAAGACACAGGACGTGGTCGTTTAAATGCGCGCGAGAAATACAACAGTCTTATTTATTATTAACAAAGACGATCGCAAGCTCCGAAACGCGGTCATTTATATAGGCGCGAGATATTTATCAATTTTATTATTAATTAATTACAGCGTTCACGATATCTGAAAAGTAGTCGTTTAAATGGATGCGGGAAATTCAACAGTCTTATTTATAATTAACAAAGACGATCGCGAGCCCCGAAACGCGATCGTTTAAATAGGCGCGAGATATTTATCAATTTTATGATTAATTAATTAGAACGTTGGCAATACCCGAAAAGTGATAGTTTAAATGAGCGCGAGATATTTAACAAGTTTATTATTAATTAATTAGAACGTTGGCGATACCCGAAAAGTGTTCGTTTATATGCAGGCACGGAAATTTTACAGTCTTATATTTAATTAACAGAGTCGATCGCGAGCTCCGAAACGTGATCATTCAAGTAGGCGCGAGATATTTAACAATTTTATTATTAATTAATTAGAACGTGTGCAATACCCGGAAAGTGATAGTTTAAATGAGCGCGGGATATTTAACAAGTTTATTATTAATTAATTAGAACGTTGGCGATAAATGAGCGCAAGATATTTAACAATCTTATTTTTAATGAATCAAAACGGTGGCGAGCTTCGAAACGTGATCATTTAATTAGAGGCGAGATATTTAACAATCTTATTATTGGTTAATGACAACGTTCGCGATCCGCGGCACGTAATCGTTTAAATAGGCGCGAGGAATTTAGTAATCATATTTTTATTTATCCACAACTTTTGCGAGTCCCGGTACGTGGTTGTTTATATATCGCAAAAAGTTTTACCATTTTATTAATTAATAAATGTATATTAAGTATAATAATAACAATAACATAACAGTATAATAATAACATAATAACAATA